CTGTAATGTTTGTTTTTTATAGCCATGGCTTATATGCACGACAATGGGGTCGTTCATCAGGACTGCCACACGAAGAACGTACTGGTGTTCAGCGCACCGGACGGTGAGTATACGGCCAAATGGATTGTCCACACCCGGCCGTACAAACAGTCCGGTCACTCCAGAAGCACAGGTATTGGGAGCCACAGGCGGCGAACCGCTACCCGAGACCCCCACCGGTCCGCCACAACATGTGCCAACAGGCAGAACACCCCGTCACCGGTACATTGAGCCCCCTATCCGGCGACTGGAAGCGTTGTATATAGAAATGCCTGACGGGTATCCTATGGCAGGTCAGGCCAACACCATATCGGGTGAGCTATACCTGAGTAGCGGCGCTGAGTCGGCGCGAGGATTGCGGGACAAAACGATCAGAGATTTGGCTAAACTAGAGGGCAAAGGGTTTACCATACAGTTTGATAGGGGCTCGGAGATTGGCGAGGGCTTTTTCAGCAAGGTGTTCCGGGGTACCTACAATGAACAGGTAAGTTAACATGGTTATAATTAAGTATAATTAATGGCATATATTTATCGTTTGCTGTTAAGATTTCTAATGTTGGTGAAAGACAGGGCCGACACCTGGATGTAAAGCCGAGCCAAGAGTTTGCCGCCAAATACGTAGAGTTGGCGCCCAATAGCGAAAGGGAACGGTATCTCTACCACGAGTGCGAAAAGCGTACACTCAGATCACTCAGGCATTCAAACATTGTCTCCTATAGAGTGGCCATTAATTTAGGCCAACGAGTGATACTTCGCAACGTATCGGACACCGAGTGCGGCGATATTGTCACATATAGGCGCATGTTTTTGATCATGGACTACGCCGACCAGGGTACTTTGTATCAGTTTGGTATGAAGGGTATGCTTACCGATTATTTAACGGTGCAATTCACGCGTGAGTTGAGCTCAGGTACGTATTTTAAAAAGTTTAAACATGTTAGTTTTGTAAATTAAATACACGTTAATTAACTGTAATGTTTGTTTTTTATAGCCATGGCTTATATGCACGACAATGGGGTCGTTCATCAGGACTGCCACACGAAGAACGTACTGGTGTTCAGCGCACCGGACGGTGAGTATACGGCCAAATGGATTG